ACAACCGGACATTAACAAATTCCCATCTTCCCATAACTGCGGGCACGGCTTTCGAAAGTTCAAATCCCTGTAGGGGTGTCCCAACTTAGCCCATCACAAGCTCTCACGGTCAACGAAGGATATTCCTTCTAGCGGGAAGACCCGATCAAACTCGGAATCCCGGTTACAAGACATCCTCGACAATGGTAAAACAAGTCCAGCAACACCGTCCGAATGTGCCGACAAATCCCGATAGGAGCTGCACATATCTTGTTCTCAGGGCACACTCAGATGAGCGCTCCATACAACTAAAACCAAACCTCAAGTTTCCCCAAGGGGGCGCTGCATAGGGCTCTAGTTTGGACCAACACTCAGAGGAGCACTGGCCCGGGGGGGTAAAATAATGATGACCCTCGAGAGCGCGACTCCCAAGGGAAAAAGAGGCTAGGTGGCGAATGGTAAAACCAATGTTGGGCATTGCTGGAGGAGTTTTATTCAAGGCGAACTGTCAAGGGGTTCCCATTATAACCCAACCGCGTAAGGAACGCAAAATCCGGGAACATAACACCGATATGACGGAAACTAGGACGGCAAGAGTGGAACAAAACACCAGGCATAAGGCCGAGCCGTCCACCCTTTACCAAGTATATAGATGCATTAATTAAATAAGAGATATTGTGATATCCCAACAAAATATCCATATTCCAACATGGAACAAGCTCTGATCTTCACCTGCAACTAACAACGCTATAAGAGGGGCTGAGCAAAGCGGTAACATAGCCAAACAACGGTTTGCTAGGACAAGGTGTGTTAGAGGCTTGGCTTAACAATATGGGAGGCATGATAAGCAAGTGGTAGGTATCGCAGCATAGGCATAGCAAAAGAGCCAGCAACTAGCAAGCAAAGATAGAAGTGATTTCGAGGGTATGGTCATCTTGCCTGAAATCCCGCAAGGAAGAAGAACGAGTCCATGAAGAAGACAAACGGACGTAGTCGAACGGGTCCTCACAAACGCGATGTTATTAGAACCAACCCGAAGAAGCAACACCGGAAAGAAGCACACAACATAGTAAACAACCAACACACGAACATGGTATGATATGCGGGATGCGGTATGCGATGCATATGCATGATTTGGAAAGGAATGATTGAAACTGGCCTCAACTTGGAAATGCAAGGGTGCCACTGGAAAGGTGAGATGATTTTGGTTGAAATCGATATAAAGATCACCGGAATCGGATGCACGGTTTAGAAATGGCAAGCAAAACAAATATGGCACCGGTCTGCGATAATCAGCAAGTGACCAACTAAATGCATCAAGATAAATATGCTACAACACTCAAACATGGCAACAAAATACATGGTAGGGATCCACTCATGAAGCTTGACAAAAGATGAACACTGAGCTATGGCTAATTCATCCATTAACAGGTTCAAACAAGCATGGCAAAAGAGCAAATGATAACGGGTTTCAGACTTAGTGAAATTAACACAAGTCTGGAATTTATCATGAGGAAGCAATCTTTAGAGCATGAAAACTACATGCTACAGGAACATATCATGGCAAAGCAAGGCATGGCATGAAGCTACTCAAAGCACTTAACAAAAGTCCCTTAGTGACCTTGAACCAAAAGGGATCAAAAAAATACAATTGCAAGCATGTGAACATAGCAAAAATATAAACAGATTCAGACTTAGTGAAAAACTGGAGCATGCAAAACAGTTAACGAGTAGGCATGTTTACGAGCTCGATGCACTCACTACAGAGCATGGCATGAAAAATAAGCATACACCCATCAAAAAGATATGGCATAGAAGCTAGACATGGCAAGAACAATAACATAGCATGCACAGATCAATAGCAACATCCTCGGCAAAATCGCTAAACATGTCAACAATCTGCCAGGATCATTTTATAGCAAAAGTAGAGCTCGATTGACTCAAGCCAGGGTGCTCCATAATTGCAAACAAAGACATTGATGGATAGAGCACCACAATGTTAACAAAACATCCTTACTGATCATCCTGAAAAGAGGCACGGATCACTAGGAAACAATATGAACATATGGCATAAAGACAAAAACAGGACAATGACTTGGTGAAATTCTAAGTCCCTGAAATCAGCATTACCGATTACGCTACTTTGCAAGCTTGTGCTAGTCACCACATAGATCATAAAAATACATGGCAAGCACCTCTTTAAAGATGGCATGGCATATAACACAACACATGTAGAGCTCAGGATCATAGCTTGCACACATTAATCATGGCAAAAATGACAAAATGCCATTTGCTGAAACAGATCTGACAAATTCATCACATAGTCCTCTTCCAATAGCATTTCGGGCATCAAGATGAGCTCAAATGAAAATGATGCAAAGAGAGGAAATGATGTACTCGTCGAGTCGAATATTTTGATATGCTACACGCACAAACCGGAGCTACGAATCCAGAGTTTATGACATGATGAAGATTGCATAAAATTACTGGAAACTGGGACTTGGAAGAAAATCGGATGGGCGCAGGATAGCTATAACTCGCACGGGCGGAAATTAGAGGAGGGCTCACCACACGGGCTTCGGCCCAGGCGCGGAGAGGAGGCCGCCTGGAGGAGGTGGGCCGGCCCACGCGGTTGAGCGAGCAGGGAGGTGCGGATCGGGCTCCTCCCGATCCCGCACGGCGGCGGCGGCGCACGCCGGTGCTCCGGCGACGGCGAGGCATGACGGCCACGGCAGGAGGCTGGCCGGAGATGAACGGGCATGGCAGGGCGGAGGCACGCGGATCCGGCCACCTTGGCGCCGGATTAGGCCGATTTCGGGCGAGGCTGGCGAAGGAGGTCGGCAGGGCGGCGACCATGGCGTCGCGGCGGCGGGGTCCG